AAGATGTGCCTTTACCTCACTGGTTGTAGAAAAAGCTTCTTATATTCGTTAGCATAGCTAGCTAACCAGATGCTAATAACAACAAAGTTATTGACTGTATGATCAGTGTGACAGATGAACAGATGCCACTGGGCTTTCAACTAAAGACACAGCCACGCAGGAACTGCAGCATGTGTACGACTCCTTATGGGTACTGCAATTTGTGGAAGTGGCGGAGCGGCGTTCTGGTGCTCTCCGTCAGAACTGCATCCCTATCAGACGAGACATATACCACGTGATGACACTTAGGCTCGTGTTGTGTTCAAGGACCCTGACCTTGGCCAGGAAAAACAGGCACTCGCTTGTTTAATTTTTTTGCACTCTAGATTTCTTTAATTTTTTTCTTTTTAGCCTATGTTTATAAATTACCTCGAGGGCCGTAGCAAAAGGTCTTGCGGGCCGTATACGGCCCGGGGGCCTGAGGCTCCCCACCCCTGCCATAGAGGAACACCAGGGTGGGACCAGGCAGTTCCCTCTTTGCAGACAAGCATATGTGGTTGTTACGCAGGATCAAACAGGTAGCCTGTGATGAAGTAGGGTCGACCCTATATCATGTGAAGCAACCGAGCCGTGGTCCCCGAGGAAACTGGTGCCCGGATCAAGGCCAATTGATGAATGCCGCAGCCGACTAAGGCCGCTATGCAACAGTGGAGGATTAGAGAAACTGATGTTTGCCTGGCAATCCGCGGCGAAGTGGGGATGTGGAACTTCCACCCCGCTGCGGAACCCATGGTGGGACCCCTGAGTCAGACGGTTCGTTTTGGAAACCTTTCATATCGGTCAGCCATCAGAGTCGAACCCGCAGTTCGGAGGAACCGACAGCCAGAGCACCGGCACGTGGACCGGGGGAGAAGACCCTCCGATGGCGGGTCGCGTTTGCCATTCGATCAGTGAGGTCAGAGGAGAAGAACCCGCAGTTCGGACGAACCGACCGCCAGAGCACCGGCACGAGGCCGGGCTGGCGGAGGCCCTCCGATGGCGGGTCGCGTTTGTTACGGTTATCTGAGAGAACCCAAACGCAGGACACGGCAGTGTGTTACAAAGGTTTTATTTGGAGGAGATAATCCGGCTGGAGAGTATCCACTGGAGCGTAATCCATTGAAGAGTATCCTCCGGAGTTTTAATCCGCTGGAACGTAATCCACTGAAGCGTAATCCTGGAGCACAAGAAGAACAGGTAAGAATATATTCAGGTGTAGCGAAAATAGTCACTATACTTTAAGAAGGCTGAGAAGGCTAAGAGTTTTACCACTGGGGTTTAACAACGATCTGGCGCTGACAGGTTGTGGAGCCTCCGCTGATATACCATCCGTAATGGCTGATGGGAATCAGGTGTGTCGCAGAGGAGAGTGCTCAACTGTTTGCAGCTGGTGGAGATTTGAGCCGGGAGCCAGGAGTGACAGGCACCACGCCCACACAGACAGGGAAAGGGAAAACACACACACAAGGAAGGTGGCTGGAGAATGCAACCACCACAGCGTTTGCCATTCGATCAGTGAGGTGAGAGGAGAAGAACGCAGCAAAAATTGACAAAATCCGTTAATGTACGGTCGAGTTGGGGGGGGGGGGAACGGCTGGACAAAGGCCGTCGGGGGGCACCCAGGACTGGGCAGTGCCCCCGGTAAAAGGAGCCGGGTGAAACGGGCCAAAACAGAAAAATAAATAAATAAATAAAAAGAACCAGGCAAAAGGGGTGAAAATGTAAAAAAGTATCCGAAAATAGTGCCTCATAAGGCGGGTAGAGTCCCCTGTCAACTCCCCTTACATTCCTCCAGAGTCAGAAAAAAATCTGAGTTAACTTTTTGGAGAACCATAAAAGAGGGGTGAAAATGTAAAAAAGTATACGAAAATAGTGCCTCATAACCCGGGTAGAGTCTCCTGTCAACTCCCATGTCATTCTTCCACAGGCAAAATAGTCAGATTCAAGTTTTTGGAGAACCAGGGGAAATGGGTGAAAATGAAAAAAAGTATCCGAAAATAGTGCCTCATAAGGCGGGTAGGGTCCCCTGTCAACTCCCCTTACATGTCTCCAGAGTCAGAAAAAAGTCTGAGTTCACTTTTTGGAGAACCATAAAAAAGGGGTGAAAATATAAAAAAGTATCCGAAAATAGTGCCTCATAATGCTGATAGAGTCCCCTCAAACTCCCCTTACATTCCTCCAGAGAACAGTTCAAAAACTTAAAGTTTGGTAAGAACCATGCTGGGGGGTCTCTAGGCAACAAATTCATCCGAGCCAGAGCACACTAGGAGCGGACACATTCCTCCATGAAGTGAGACAGCCGTTTTTTTTCTGAGTCCTCTCAAAAACTGGGTAGCTTGAAAATGATGAATGCATTTTTTTGACGGAGAAGGGGAGGCTTGGTTTCCCCTCTCCGTTGTAAGTTGCAACGGAGGAGTAGAAAAGTGTCCGGGGCTTCGACCGGAAGCGCCGACAGGTTGAGCTTTTCAAAGCCCCTTCTCTGTTGGCACTTAGCCATTTTTTCAACAATTTTTTTAAAACTTCATTTTTGATTATTTTAAGATATAATTGACCGTTTTCTTTACTTTTTTCTTCTTTCAACGGCGCATGGCAGGCCGCCTATGAGCTCCCAAATTCGGCCTAGGAACCTCCAGGATTTGTGGGCTAAGCTCCATAAAACTGACAAAGTCACCCAGAAATGTCACTTTTATAGCCCAAAAATAAATAATAAAAATTCATTTAAATATTAAAAGGTACAATTGTGCTCCGAATTACCCGGAATTTGATTTATATAGCCCCATGATAGTGAATACAAATCATTTTCATGGAAAAAAGTGTTAAAACGCCTGATTAAAGCATATGCAGGACCCCAGTGAGCTCCAGACTATGTGCATTGTGTTAGGGAACCATATTAATGATAAAATAACTCATTTAAATGCAAAAATAATGATTACAAATCAGTTTTAGGGGGACAACTGTGGAGAGGAGCCTGAAAATGACTCTCCAGCACCCCGGAGAAGCAGGGTCTCAGACTCACAGGCACACAGGCAGAGAACCAGGGTGATGCACCCAGCAATAAGTCTTTGAAAGCTGGGGAAAAGTGCTGTGAATAGAGGGAGAGAGCAGCCAGAGAGAAGCGGGCTGTGAGAGCCACATAGCGCACCCACAGAGCTCCTTGCAGCACATGGCTCTCCCACCCAGGGGACAGGCTGCTTCACAACACTTTGTAACCCAGGAAAGCAGCTTGAATCGTGGGTACATGAGTGTTAAAAGTGCATTAAACTGTTTTAATTCCAATGCGCATTTGACTGCATAAACAGTCGGTCATATGGACAGAAAACTGTCCATTTCGTCCACATTTGACTCATGAAATGTACAAGAAGATAAGTACAGCAGAGTCACTGCTGTTAGCAGGGCCTCACACTCACAGGCACATAGGCAGAGACCCAGGGTGATGCACATGGCTCTTCCACCCAGCAATAAGTCTTTGAAAGCTGGGGAAAAGTGCTGTGAATAGAGGGAGAGAGCAGCCAGAGAGAAGTGGGGTGTGAGACTCACAGAGCTCACCCAGAGAGATCCTTGCAGCACATGGCTCTTGCACCCAGACTGCACCCAGAGAACAGGCTGCTTCACAGCACTTTACAAGCCAGGAAAAGTGATTGAATCCTGGGTATAGATGTTTTAAATAGTCTGATACCTCCAGGGCGCATCACCGCATTTTACAAGCCAGGGAAGGTGCCTGAATCCTGGGTAAACATTGTTTAAGTGTTTTTAAATGTGTGAAACAGTGTTTTGTCACTTTCAAAACTCTCCCGTCATTGACCGGAGAAATTGGGTCGATGTTGTATTCAATCTGACCGTTAATATTCCAGTGAGACGAAGTACGTACAATGACCGGAGTGATCCCATGTTCATTTTGTCCCAAAACTGGAGCATTCCCTCACCAATGTCCTGGTCCGTTGGAGGTTCCGCTGGGGGTCCTGCCAACTCCATGTCCTGTCCCGTTGGGGGTCCCGCCGACTACTCTTCTGCCGGGGGTCCTGCCAACCCTATGTCCTGTGTCGTTGGGGTTTCCGCAGAGAGTTCTGCCAACCCCATGTCCTGTTCCGTTGGAGGTCCCGCCGTCACCTGTCTCGCCGGGGGTCCTGCCAACTCCTTGTCCTCTTCCGTGGGGGATCCTGCCGACACCTGTCCCGCCGGGGGTCCTGCCTACTCCTTGCCCTGTTGCGTTGGTGGTCCAATCAACACCAGCCCTTGCTCCATCCGGGGTCCCATTGACACCAACCCATGTCATGTCCAGGATCTCGTCTACGCCTGTCCCACCGGCTCCGGTTCCTGTCCGGCCGACACCGGGTCCTGCCCGCCCTCAGGAGCTGTCCCATCAGCGCCTACCTGCCCGTCCTCCGGAGTTCCCCAGCCGCGGTCTTCGCCCTCGAGCCCGGCCCCCTGAGTGCCGCGGTCTTCGTCCTCGAGCCCGGCCCCCTGACTTTCCCGGCCGCTGCCTTCGCCCTCATGCTCGGCCCCGTGAGTTCGCCCGCTGTGGCCTTCGCCCCTTTATGAACTCTGCCTTGCCCCCGGGCCGTCCGCCCGAGACCCCCTCCATGGACTCTGCCTTTCCTGGGCTGTTGATCTAGACCCGTCCTCCGGACCCCCTCCACCCACCCAGTTTGAAATGTTTGACTTTGTTTAGGGACGTCTGGAATCCGTCACTTGAGGGGGGGGTTATGTCAGGGTTTGAGTTTTTGTGTGTCTAGTTTTGGGGTTATTTTGCTGTTCTGTCCTCCCTGTCGTTAGTGTCCCCGGTGTGTCTAATTGTCTGATTGTGTTCACCTGTTGCCCTTGTGTTTCTCCTCCCCTGCCCTTGTGTTTCTCGTCTCGTGATTACCCCTCCCTGTATTTACTCTGCAGTTCGCCTCTCCTCCCCCCCCCCCCCCCCCCCCCGCAGTTCAATGGGATACAACACGATAATACACAATTTATTATTTACTTTTTAAATCATTCACATCATTTATAAGATAAATACAATACTTATATGTAAAAAAAAATAAAAATGTTTATAAAATGTGTAAATCTGACAAATATTTTTTAAATCAATAACGTAGATTTTAATTTGAAAATATTTTAAAATCAATCAAATTTGTTTTAAATAGAATTATTTTGTTTTGTTTTTCAAATCAACATTTTAATATATTACATTTATTTTTACTAATGAATGAACTCATTGATGTCGGGTTCAGGAGCCATTTTGCTGACTCATGTTAACGGAGAGGAGACGCCATCTTTATCTTTCTCTGATATCAGTATTAGGATGCAGCAGCAGAGACCTGGACCTGGTCCTGGACCTGGACCTGGACCTGGACCTGGACCTGGACCTGGACCTGGACCTGAAGATGGACCTGGATCCAGCTGTGTGTCCATGAAGAGTGGCTGGTCTATGGATCCCCCTCTTGTCTTTGAATCTGGACGTCCTGCAGAGGGAAGGTGAGAATGTAAAGTGTGTCACGTGATCAGCTTCTTTCTGAGGAGTTCAGAGTTTATTCTCCCGGACGCTGAGACATTGTTCTGTAGCTCTTTGGTTCTTCTACTCCATCCTTTCAGAGAGGTTTCTTTGGTTCTTGTGTTGTTGTTGTTGTTGTTGTTGTTTGTTTGTTTGTTTGTTTGTAGCCTTTATTTAACCAGGTGAAGCCCCTCGAGATCAACACATCTCTTTTTCAAGGGTGACCTGCAGGACATTAGTTACACATGTAACATAGAAATAACAGAACAACAATAAGGATGACATACAACATAATGTACAGGGTACAGTTTACAAACTCTATTTACAGTGACAGGTACCATGAGTATCAAACAGCATGTCACCCAGCTGAGTTTTAAAATGATGCAGGGGAACCAAAGTGCTCAGTTTGAAACATGTTTGCAGACTGTTCCAAGTTAGTGGAGCTGCACAACTAAAAGCTTTCTTCCCTAAGACAGTCCTAGCACTTGGCACATTTAATAAAACAACATCATGAGATCTCGGGCAATAAGTACTTTCAATTCGTCGAGAGATCAGAGAGCAGATATAAAAAGGTAGTTTACCCAACATGGCTTTATAGATGAACATGTACCAATGACTGAGCCTCCGTACAGTTAGTGAAGGCAGACCTGCCTCGCATAGAGGGTACAGTGATGAGTAAGTGCTTTACAGTTAGTAACACATCTCAGGGCGCTGTGATACGCAGCATATAACTTGCTCAGGTAATTGGCAGGTGCATTCATATAGACCAGATCACCAGAGTCCAGCACAGGTCAAAAGGTCACAGAGCCTTTTCCTGGCCTCAAGCGAGAAACAGGACTTGTTCCTGTAGAAGAAACCTAGCCTAACCCTCAGCTTTTTAAGCAGGTTATTGACATGAAGTTTAAAAGTGAGACAATCATCAAGCCAGATACCAAGGTATTTATAACAGGTAACCACTTCAAGTACTTGTCCTTGCATAGTAACAATATCCAAAACAGGCTCTGGTGTCTTTTTAGCTTTAGAAAAGAGCATTACCTTGGTTTTATCAACATTTAAAATAAGCTTAAGCTCAGCAAGCTGAGTCTGAATAATGTTAAAAACAGCCTGTAATTTAACACCAGCCTCCTGAATGGAGGGACCTGCACAGTACATCACGGTATCATCCGCATACAAATGTAAAGTAGCTTCATCCACATTTTCACCTAAACTGTTGATATGGAGAATAAAAGTGGACCTAAAACAGAACCTTGAGGAACACCATTAGTGATGTTCAACCACTCAGAAGACAGCCCATCAAAGTGAAGACATTGGGACCTTTCAGAGAGGTAGTTTACAAACCAACCCACTGCATGGCTGGATATGCCGATACTGACCAGCCTCTGCTTTAAGATGTGATGATCGACGGTATCAAACGCTTTGGACAGGTCAATAAATAGAGCTGCACAACTCTGCTTATCATCTAAAGTACTCGTAATGTCATTCAGCACTTTCATTGTGGCAGTGATGGTGCTGTGTTGCTTTCTGAAGCCTGACTGATGTTTAGACAGGATGTCATTGTTACATAAAAATGCCTTTACTTGGTCACTCACAAGTCGTTCGAGCACCTTAGCCAGAACTGACAATTTAGAGATTGGCCTAGAGTTATTTTAAATAGTTGCCTCCCCTCCTTTTATCAAAGGCAAGACATAAGCAGACTTCCATACTTTTGGAATTGTGTTAGTGCTGAGGGAGAGGTTAAAAAGAGTAGTGAGAGGAAGAGCAATAACATCTGCAGCTAACTTTAAAAAGAAAGGTTTTACGTTGTCCGGGCCGGCCGGTTTCTTAGGATCTAACTTGGATAATGCTTCATGAACAATACCAATAGTTAAAGGAGTAAAACTGAAAGGGTTTTCCAGACCACATTGTTCAGAGTCAAGGATTGGAGTGTTCACAGAAGCAGAATTAGTCACAGAATCAAACATAGAACCACAGGACACAAAATGCTTATTAAAGCAATTTAGCATAGTAGCCCTGTCCGATATAGAGCCAGATGCTGTGGTGAGGCACGGAGGTAGCTCATTACGGATATCACCGGTGGATATCGATTTGATTGCTTTCCAACATTTCCTAGGATTATTCAGGTTTTCTGTGGTAACTGAGAAATAGTACTTCGACTTTGCACTTTTGATTTGAGATGTGAAGCTATATCTTAGCTGCCTAAAACGCAGCCACTCTACCTCTGAGCCTGATTGCCTAGCCTTTGCCCAAGCATTGTTTCTCTCATGAAGGAGACTGGACAGCTCAGCAGAAAACCAAGGATTGTTTCGTCCCTTCACTCTAAATTTACGCAGAGGTGCATGTCTATCTATAATTTTCATAAAACCAAGATAAAAATAAGACCATGCGGTTTCTACATCAGCACACAGATCAATTTTACCCCAATCAAAATCAAACAGATCATGTAAAAAACCCTGCTCCACAAAATGTTTTTTGTCTCTCTTTGTGATGATACGTGGTTTAACCTTTTGGACCGTAGTGTCCCTAATTGTGGCTACAACACAGTGATCACTCACATCATTAGCAAATACTCCCACAGATGAGTATTTATGTGGAACATTTGTTAAAATGAGATCAATTAATGAGGATTTATTTGGGGACTTAATATTTGGGCGAGTAGGACTGTCTATAATCTGGGTACAATTTAAAGAGGTACACAGGTTTTTAAAATCCTCTGACACTGCAGTTAACCAGTCCCAGTTAAAATCACCAAGCAGCACTATTTCCTTGTAGGAAAGTTGTGATAACAGTTTTGCCAATGACGATAAAGAGTCCTTGACAGCCGAGGGGGCCCTGTAGCAGCCCACCACCATGACCTGTTGACCCTTTGTTACCTCAATATTCACGGCTAAAAATTCTAGCTGTTTACTAACAGATTTGGAAACCATATTACTTACACAAAACTTATTTTTCACATAAATGGCAACGCCACCACCTTTTTTAGGCCGGTCAGTACGATATACACTGTAACCATTTATGTAAATGTCAGAGGCCAAAATGGATTTATCTAGCCACGTTTCTGATAATACAATGATATCAGCATCAGTCGAACTCGTCCAAATACGGACAAAATCTAACTTAGGTAACAGACTACGCACATTTAAATGAATTAAACCTAGCCCAGATCTAGATATAAAATCAGCAGGAGTAGCTATTTGACTAATACTGTTGTAGTGTTTGCTCTGCTAGAAGTCAGATGTCCTCTAGAGGAACGCTAAAGAAGAAGTGGACATCTGAAAGTGATGTGAAGCTAAAGAAAGAGCAAACTGATCCGTGAACTGGAACCAGAGAGAATCTGCTAGAACTCACTTTGTTCACTTTGACTTGTTTGTATCAGGAAGCAGAAGAAGAGACATAAACCTGGACCTGGACCTAAACCTGGACCTGGACCTGAAGATGGACCTGGACCTGAAGATGGACCTGCAGATGTACCAGGACCTGGACCTGAACCCAGACCAGAACCTGGACCTGAAGATGGACCTGGAGATGGACCTGGACCTGAAGATGGACCTGGAGATGGACCTGGACCCAGCTGTGTGTCCATGAAGAGTGACTTTTCTATGGAGTCTCCTCTTTACTTTAAAGCTGGACAAAGTGCTGATGAAAGGTAAGAATTTAAAACTGGAATCTGTTACTATCTGACTCTGGAGAAGAGTAAATCCTGCTCCAACGTACCTCTCTTGAGTTGGTTTCAAATGACTTCTATTTGTATTGTGAATCATATAATGAGCAAAGAAAGATTACTCTACCAAATTAAGACATTAATCATGGATTGTTTTAGACGACCCCCTCTTCTGTTTGACGGCAGGCAGCGAGCTGGTAATGGCATGAAGGGCGATGTGAGGTGTCTGGTGGTTTTATTACTCTGTTCTTTATCAGTCTCAGGATCCAGCAGCAGAGACCTGGACCCAGCTGTGAGTCCATGAAGAGTGACTGGTCTATGGAGTCTCCTATGAACTTTAAATCTGGACAAAGTGCTGATGAACGGTAAGAATTTCAAACTGGACTCTGTTACCATCCGACTCTCTTTGGAGAAGGCACCACAGACTGGTTCAAATCAGGCTCCAGATAATAATGGGGCTTTCTGTTCCTCCCACCATCAGCTGCTGGGAGGCTTCTGATGGTCGGACGCTTTCAGGCCTCAGTAATGTTGGTGTTTTTATAACCCCCCCCCCCCTCCTCCTGCTGAGCAACAGTCACCCTGTTATTCTGTCTCCATCTCAGAACACCTTCAGTCAGCTGTGTGCAGATTAGACTCTTTAAATGTTCTGGATGTTTTCTCCACAGAGTTCTGCAGGAGTTCTCAGAGGTTCCCAGTGATCAGTCCGCCCCGAAGCATCACACAGACCTGGACTCCATATTTATGGTGTGTACAAATATACATTTACTATGAACTACAGAGGATCTACCATTCAGGTCCTGACTGTATCCATGCTGCTCTGTTTAGACCAGCAGGCCTTCAGACGGACAGATGATCACATGTTGTCTTCTTTAAATTAACTGTTGCTGCGTCGGTGGAGCTGTATTCATCTCTGACTATTAATCAGACCTACTGATTGACCTTTCAGAAGCTAATGAGTCTATGAAAGTTTAGGATCGGATCCAGGTCGATCTCTAAAAGGTCTTACCTCTGCTAACTTCTGGAGAACCAGGTTCAATGAACTGCTGATCGAAGGCATATGACTAAATCTGTTCAAGAGATCCCAGAGGGTTCTGTATTGAGGTGTGGCCCTGCCTAAGTGTGAGGGTGGTCAAGATTTGTGTCGGGTGTTATTTTTTCAATAATGTCCTCCTCGCTGCACATTATCCCTAACATAATAACTTTAGTTTTAACGTTATTCATCTGATCAATGTTCATCAACCTGTTCCAGCTGCTGGAGGACAACATCGTGACTTTTGTGAAAAACGAGCTGAAGAAGATCCAGAAGGCTCTGAGTTCAGATTACCCAGAAGGCTTAGAGAGTCAGAGTGAGGAAGAGGAGGTGTTGGAGGCTGAGGATGAAGAGCAGAGGAGCAGCAGAGAGGCAGTTCTGAACATCACCCTGCACTTCCTGAGGAGCATGAAGCAGGAGGAGCTGGCTGAGCGTCTGCAGAGCAGTAAGAGGGTTTAACACATTTAACATGATGGAGAGGAGATGGAGGAACATGGAGAAGCTTACATTTACAAACTCTGCTGTTAATATACTGCACACGTCTGCGTCAGTGTGTCCTCTGAGGAGCTGATTCAAACTGTACAGCCACACTTACATGTTCAGAGTCTCAGTGTTTCTGCAGGACCCACTCACTGATTCCACTTGTTGTTCGTTCATTCAGGATCTCCTGCTGCAGTGTGCAGTAAACTCAAATCCACCCTGAAGGAGAGGTTCCAGTGTGTGTTTGAGGGCATCGCTAAAGCAGGAAACCAAACCCTTCTGAACCAGATCTACACAGAGCTCTACATCACAGAGGGGGGGTCTGCAGAGGTCAACAAGGAACATGAGGTCAGACAGATTGAAACAGCATCCAGGAAACCACACAGACCAGAAACAACCATCAGACAAGAAGACCTCTTTAAAGCCTCACCTGGAAGAGATGCACCAATCAGAGCAGTGATGACAAAGGGCGTGGCTGGCATTGGGAAAACAGTCTTAACACAGAAGTTCACTCTGGACTGGGCTGAAGGCAAAGCCAACCAGGACATCCAGTTCATATTTCCATTCACCTTCAGAGAGCTGAACGTGGTGAGAGAGAACAAGTACAGCTTGGTGGAACTTGTTCATCACTTCTTCCCTGAAACCAGAGACGCAGGAATCTGCAGGTTCGATCAGTTCCCGGTCGTGTTCATCTTTGACGGTCTGGATGAGTGTCGACTTCCTCTGGACTTCCTCAACACTGAGATCCTGACTGATGTCACAAAGTCCACCTCAGTGGATGTGCTGCTGACAAACCTCATCAGGGGGAAGCTGCTTCCCTCTGCTCGCCTCTGGATAACCACACGACCTGCAGCAGCCAATCAGATCCCTCCTGAGTGTGTGGACATGGTGACAGAGGTCCGAGGGTTCACTGACCCACAGAAGGAGGAGTACTTCAGGAAGAGATTCAGAGATCAGCAGCAGGCCAGCACCATCATCTCCCACATCAAGACCTCACGAAGCCTCCACATCATGTGCCACATCCCAGTCTTCTGCTGGATCTCTGCTTCAGTTCTGGAGGAGGTGTTGAAAACCAGAGAGGGAGGAGAGCTGCCCAAGACCCTGACTGAGATGTACATCCACTTCCTGGTGGTTCAGTCCAAAGTCAAGAACATCAAGTATGATGGAGGAGCTGAGACAGATCCACACTGGAGTCCAAAGAGCAGGAAGATGATGGAGGCTCTGGGGAAACTGGCTTTTGAGCAGCTGCAGAAAGGCAACCTGATCTTCTATAAGTCCGACCTGACAGAGTGTGGCATCGATATCAGAGCAGCCTCAGTGTACTCAGGAGTGTTCACACAGGTCTTTAGAGAGGAGAGAGGACTGTACCAGGACAAGGTGTTCTGCTTCGTCCATCTGAGCGTTCAGGAGTTTCTGGCTGCTCTTCATGTCCATCTGACCTTCATCAGCTCTGGAGTCAACCTGCTGGCAGAAGAACCAACAACCTCCCAGCAGTATGAGGTCAAACCTGAACTAACACATCTCTACCAGAGTGCTGTGGACCAGGCCTTACAGAGTCCAAACGGACACCTGGACTTGTTCCTCCGCTTCCTCCTGGGTCTTTCACTGCAGACCAATCAGGAACTCCTACGAGGCCTGCTCACACAGACAGGAAGTGACTCAGGGACTGAAGAGGAAACAGTCCAGTACATCAAGAAGAAGATAGAAGAGGCTCCCTCTCCAGAGAGAAGCATCAACCTGTTCCACTGTCTGAATGAACTGAATGATCGTTCTCTAGTGAAGCAGATCCAACAGTACCTGAGTTCAGGAAGTCTCTCCACAGAGAATCTCTCTCCTGC